CTGCACAGGGTGGCCGGCCCGGGTTGTTTTCTGCTGTGCCTGTTGTGAAGCTGCTCCCAGCAGCAGCGTGTGGTGTGCGAGCTGTCGCTGCTGGGGCTGGTGTTCAAATAGTCCTTTGTCACTGTAGAGATGGAATAAACTTTTTCACCTCGCCGCCTCATGCCTTTCTTCGCTGGGGAAGCTGGACAGGGCTCCTCCCCTCCCCAGGGGCTCCCTGGAAGCAGCAGAGCAGCCCCAACCAGCTGCTGTGCTGCAAACTGCACGCTCACCCTGGCAGCTATTTTTAGGCGAGGTCTCCTCAGGCTCCTCACACAGTCTTGTGCTCCAAAACCTTGTGACCAGCTGCCCAGCACAGGCCCCTGCCTCAGGAACTATCCCATGCTGCTCACACACAGTTCTCTGCACGTGGGGAGCCGTTCCAGAGCAATCTGCTGTAAAACACACACACTTCCACCAAGTTATTTATTGACCTAAACGAGTAGCAGTGCTGCTTGCCCGTCCTTGGGGGCCTGCCCAGGCCTGGCAGGGAAGTGCTTGTGAGTACAACTGGCGTCATTTCCAGTAACACACGGGGGCTGGGGCTCCAGAGGCTCCCGTGGCCTCCTAGGGGGGTGCCTCTGCAGAGCTGCAGAATGTGGGCAAACAGAGCACTGCACCCACCTGGAGATTGGACCCAGCCAGAACAGAGAGCTGCTGCGTGGAGCTCGTGTGTGCTGGCTCACAGGAACAGCAGTTTTACAAAGTGTAAGGGGAAAAAAAACCCAAGTCAGGTCAAGCAAAGGGGGAAGGGGACCCTTCAGTCAACTTACAGCTCACAAAGAATCAGCCTTGAGAGTTTTTGGAAGGCTTGGGTAGGAGCAAGATAGATGACTGGAGTAGAGAACCACCCACTCAAAGCAGAGACCCTTCTCCAGCTAGCTGGATCTTCACAGACACTGTAGCTCAAACCTTTACAGACTCATTCCTGAGCCTCTAAACCCTCCCCAGGTAACCAAGCACTGAATTGGCAGCACGAGGCTTGGGCTTGAGCAGAACCACCCCTATTTTTGGAGAGGAGGCTCTTCCTGAAGTGAAGCAAAGTTCTCCCACGAGCACTCTGAACACATCCAGCACTACTGGACCAGCACTAGCTCCTTCAGAGTTCAGAAGCTGGGAAGGGCCTACGGTCAGGCTGCCTAGTGGAGCTTTCATTTCCCCTTCTGTTTCAACAAGAATGCAGAGGACAGTTACAGAGAGTGTAACAGCAACGGGACAGGCCAGGGCAGGCCAAGGGCCAGGCTGCTGCTCTGGGTGTCAGTTGGAAAGTTGTTCCACAGCTCCGCGATAAGGGACGGGCTATCTCCTCAGACTGCATTAAAAAAGGAAGTGGGTTTAAAACACTCAGCTACTGTACATTGTCTTAAGAAACCTGGAATTTAGCAACAGCACCCGAGGGGAAGAGACGGTTGTATCAACAGGCAAGTGAACCTGCCACCAGTGCCAGAGGAAGAGCAGGAGAGAGGCTGGGACGACGGCGAGCAGTGGAAGCTCTGCAGCCTTTGGCAGTTCTCCAGGGCCTGTCTGGGTGGCAGCACCAGCAGCTACACCCGTCTCTTCTCCATGGTCTGAGAAAGGAGCTCGCTCTTGGCGAGGCTCCCGCTCCCCCCAGCACTGGTGGATGCTGCTCCCCCCGGCGCTCAGCGCAGAGGACAGGGGCTTAGCAGGCAGAGCTGAGGCATTTAACAGTTTTCCTTCCCCCCTCTTGATCTTGCCTGTGCAGGAGCCCAGCAGTCAGGAGGCAAAGATCTGCCGTGAGACGGGGGCGGGGGGCGGCCTGGCCCCCAGGGGCACGTTCTCCTTGTTCTCTGAGCCCGGCTGCTGGGGCCGCTTGCGGAAGTAGCAGGCACGGCACACAGAGTGGTACTTGTCTGCTCCTCCAATCACCTCAACCTGGCAAGGACATCGGGACGGTGACTCCACAGAGCTCCGGGACCCCGGGCAGATCTCTCAGGGCCCCCCGGGTGGAGCTGCTGGGGTCCCCTGCTCCCCGGGGACTCACCTCCCGCTCCGCCCCCAGCCTCTTGGTGTAGGAGGCCTCCCGGTAGCACTCCATGCACACGGCGTTCAGCTTCACCACGCTCTCCGCCAGCGGCACCAGGTTCAGGATGCTCCCAAAGGCCTGTCCCGAGACAGCGGGGCTGTGGGATGGGCTCTCTGAGGACCCCAAAGCAGCTGCTGTGCTAAAGGAAGTGCTTTACCTTCCTCTGGAAGGTGCCGTCCAGAGCAGCAACAATGACAGTTTTCCCAGCGTTAGCCATCGTCGCACAGAACTCCACGATGTCTGGGAACTACGAGAGGTACAGAAGCAGGGTCAGGAGGAAGAAGGGGCAGCACAAGCCCAGATAGCAGCACAGGGCACTAAAAAAATCAAAGCCATGTTGCCTAGACATGGAAGGGGCTCCAGAGCCACAGCCCTCAGAAGAGGGAAGGGTTTGGCTACAGGAGCATAGCCCAGCAGCATCAAACTCTCCCAGGGCTTTTCATCCCTCTCACTCGTACAGAGGACTCAGACCTTCCTCTGCCTCCTACAGCACCCCCCAGGCCTGCCCTGGCCGTGCACTTACAAACTGCCCCTCGTCGATGCCGATGACGGCAGAGCCCAGCGCCTCCTGGTAGACGTCCTTGAGGAGGCAGGCCGGCAGCGCCTCCATGGTGCTCCTGGGGGGAAGGCGGAGCGGGTGAGCCAGGCTGCGTGGCCGCTGGCCCCGTTCCCGCGGCCCTAGGGACTCGCCTGTCGTGCGTGGAAAGGCCGGTGCCGCCGTAGCGCGTGTCCTTGGCGTACTTCACCAGCA